GCATTCAAATATGTCATTTTACCAAAAAAAAAAAAATGTTATTTAATGCCAGGGGTGATCTGGGGGAGCCTAAATTATTTCTATTACCCTTCTTAAAAAGACCAAACACCTAGCATACTGTTAGTAGAGATAAATAATATAAGCTCACCATTTACAGAAAATTTAACCTTGGCAGATTAGTAACTTTATATTAAATTTCAGTTTAAAGTTTATAAGAATGACAAATTAAAATTAATTCACACGTAGGACTATGATTAAAAGTAAAATGTTAATTGCAACTTAATCTATCCTGGCCTACTTCAAAAGCATAATTTTAACTCTTAGATGGAGAACACAATTTTCTTCTAAAAATAGATCTTGGTAACAATAAAATATCAAGAGCTGGACATTATAATAAAAAGAAAAAAGGTAACAAGAATTTTTTTTTTTTTTTTATGTTTTTGACAGTCTCGCTGTAGTCTTGCTCTGTCACCCAGGCTGGAGTACAGTGGCACAATCTCAGCTCACTGCAACCTCTGCCTCCTGCATTCAAGCAATTCTTCTGCTCAACCTCCTGAGTAGCTGGGACTACAGGTGTGTGCTGCCATGCCTGGCAATTATTTGTATTTTCAGTAGAGCTGAATTTCATCATGTTGGCCAGGCTGGTCTCGAACTCCTGATCTCAGGTGATCAGCCTGCCTTGACCTCCCAAAGTGCTAGGATTATAGGCGTGAGCCATCGCGCCCAGCCCCAAAAATTTCCTTATTACAACAGACTGGAGAAGGGGTGGAAGGAGGATTGGTAGATGCTGGTTGAAGGTACAGTTGAAATTAAATAGAAAAAATAAGTTCTGGTGTTCTATGGTTAACAGTACATTACAAAAGGCTAGAAGAGAAATCTTTAAATATCCTCACCACAAAGAAATAAATACATGAGGCAATGGTCACACTAAGTACCCTGATTTGCTCATTCTACAACATATATATGAATTGAAACATCAAATTGTACTCCCAAAATATATAAATACACATCAAAGAATCTGCTTTAAATTTTTCAAAAGCACATATTTTTAAATATGAAACTCAGTATTTATAAACTACATTTATAGCAGGGCATGGTGGCTCATGCTTGTAATCCCAGCCTTTGGGAGGCTGAGGCAGGCAGATAACTGACAGATAACTTGAGGTCAGGAGTTTGAGACAAGTCTGGCCAACATGGTGAAACCCCGTCTCTACTAAAAATACAGAAAAAAATTAGCCAGGTGTAGTGGCACACTCCTGTAATCCCAGCTACTCTAAGGGTTGAGACATGAGAATCACTTGAACCAAGAGCTGGAGGTTGCAGTGAGCCGAGATTGCACCACTGCACTCCAGCCTGGGAAACAGTGTGAGGCTCCATCTCAAAATATAAAAACTTAAGAAAACAAAACCCTACATTTATAAACTAGGACTATATAAGCAGTAAATAACATTTGAAACCTTCTTGGCCTTTACTTTAGGTTTAGCTGCATAATACAAATGAAAGCACCATTATTCCAGAAGACTTGGTTAAATCATCTTTAACTGACAGAACTTTTGAGATAGATATTTTCAACATATTCATTTATAAATGATTTCAAAGTCTTCAACCTCAACCACTGTTCAGATAGGTTAAAAAAAATAAAATAAAATCTTCCACCTTCACCTCTAGGGGTTTAGGTAACACAGTAGGTACAAGGTAAATTTTAGCTAATCTGCAGACTGGCATATGCTTCTCCATGCTGTAATTGCTTTACTGCATAATGACATTAGCAGCTGACCTTCCCTGAGAAAGGGCCATAAACAGTTCCAAATAAATACATCCTTGATTACTGTTCACATCTACAATACACCACCCACTGGCAAATCAACACCTACAACTCCTCAGACCTGCCATTATGACCTTCAATTTGGCGCAAATGCACAAAACCATAGTGTGTTTTCTCTGCTCAAGACATGCAAGACTCTCCATAAACCATTCTGCACAGTTGAGTTTGCCAAAGGGTTGGAGACGTAACCATTTGGAAAGAATATTCACACACTTTCTTTCTTAAACAAGGTATACTGAGTATAAATTCTATTTTTCTTGATTTGCAATCACCAGTGAGAATGTTAATCCTTGTACTGTGGGTTGGGAGACATTTCTCCATGGGTCTCTCATACTTTGGCATGTCTTATAAGCAGATGAGCTGGCTGCTTTCGTTCTGAACTATCTTTCAAGGATATGTGTATAGCAAACAGCTTAGAAAAACAGAGACAGTGTTTCCCACCAGACTGTTCAGTAAAATGAAGATACCTCACTCCGGGGTAAGGCTGGGCAGGTTTGCTTGCAGCCCTTTATAAAGAATTTGATTTAACTAAACCTGGGGTTCTACAGCTGAGACACAAAACAACTGCACCTGCAGCAGCACCTGAGCTACTCTGATTCCCCCTGTGGGACCCAGAGGCAAGAGGAATGAAATAAATTCTTCCTCTCAGTGGGGGCATTAGATTCTCATAGGAGCAAACCCTATTATGAACTGGGCATACAAGAGATCCAGGTTACATGCTCCTTATGAAAATATAATGGCTGATGATCTGAGGTGGGGCAGTTTCATCCCAAAACCATCCCCCCTACCACCCCATCCATGAAAAAATTGTCTTCCATGAAACCAGTCCCTGGTGCCAAAAAGGTTGAGGCCCGTTGCTCTACAACACCATCCACCCAACAGGATGTAATGGACATTTATAGAACACCCCACAAATGACTGCAAAATGCATATTCTTTTCAAGTATCCACAAAATATATGTCAAGACATCCATATCCTGCACCACAGGAAAAAACCATGACAAGTTTAAAGAAGTGAAATTAAACAGTGTGTTCTCTGACCACAGTGGAATCAAATCAGGAAAGGCTTCAAACACTTGGAAACTAAGCAACAGACTACTGAACAAGCCCTGGACCAAAGAGGAAGTCTCAAAGGAAACTAAGGCCAGGTTTGGTGGCTCACCCTGTCATCCCAGCACTTTGGGAGGCTGAAGCAGGCAAATCACTTGACATCCGGAGTTAGAGACCAGCCTAGCCAACATAGTGAAACCCCATCTCTACTAAAAATACAAAAATCAGCTGGGCGTGGTGGCAGCACTGTAATCCCAACTACTCAGGAGGCTGAGGCAGGAGAATCACTTGAACCCAGGAGGCAGAGGTTGCAGTGAGCCGAGATCACTACATTCCAGCCTAAGAGACAGAGTGAGACTCTGTCTCAAAAAAAAAAAAAGGAACTAAAAATACACTGAACTGAATGAAAGTGGGACACAGTTAAAGCACTGTGAAGAGGAAAATGTATAGCATTAAATGAGAAAAAGTCTCAAGTCAATAATCTAAGCTCCCGCCTAAAGAACCTAGAAAATCAAAAGCAAAACAAACACAAAGCAAGCAGGAGGAAAGAAATAATAATGAATGGAAATCAATAAAATTGAAAACAGAAAACCAATAGGAAGTCCATGAAAAAAAGAGCTGGTTCTTTGAAAAGATATTTTCAACACAGACAAATCTTGAGCAAGACAAGCTAGGGAAAAAAAAGAAAAGAAAAGAAAAGAAAGAGAAAGGAAAGGAAAGAAAGAAAGAGAGAGAGAGAGAGAGAGAGAGAGAGAGAGAAAGAAAGAAAGAAAGAAAGAAAGAAAGAAAGAAAGAAAGAAAGAAAGAAAGAAAGAAAGGAAGGAAGAAAGAAAGAAAGAAAAGAAGGCACAAGTATCGGGAATGAAACAGAGGATATCATTATAGACTCTGCACATATCAAAGGATAATAAGGGACTACTATGAACTAATTACATACATACATTTCACAAAACAGACAAAATGGACCAATTTCTTAAAAAACACAAACTACCACCATTCACCAACATGAAATAGACAATACAAATAGCCCTATAACTATTAAAGAAGTTAAATTCATAATTTAAGAACTCCCAAGAAAGAAATCTCCTTGAGAACTTGATGGAGTTCCTGGAAAAAAGAAGGGAAGGAAGCGAGGAAGGAGAAAAGAAAATAAATCTCCAGGCCTAAAGGTTTCAATAGTGAACTCTACAAAACATTTAATGAAGAATTAACATCAATTGTACACAACCTCTTTCAGAAAATGGGAAAGGAAGGAACATTTCCTAATTCAGTTTTTGAAGCTAGTATTTTTCCACAATAATAAAGCCAGACAAAGCCATTACTAAAAAAGGACAATGACAGACCAATATCCCTTTAAACATGAAAATCCTTAGTAAGACATCAACAAATAGAATTTGCCAATATATAAAAATATACACCATGACCAAGTGGAGGTTCTTCCAGAAAAGCAAGGTTAGTTTAATTTTTTAAAATCAGTCAATGTAATCCACCATATTAACAAGTTAAAGAAGAAAAATCACATGATCATATCAAGGGATACAGAAAAGGTATCTAACAAAAGTCAAAGGAGACTCAACATCCATTCCCGATAAGGACTCTCAGAAAAACAAGAATAGAGGGGAACATCTCAACTTGATAAAAAAACAAAACAAAACTAGAGCTAACATTAGGCTTCATGATTAAAGACTGAATGCCTTCCCCCTAAGATCAGGAGCAAGGAAAGATAGTCCTTCTCACCACTCTTATTCAACATGCTGCTGGAAGTTCTAGCCAGTGAAATAAGGCAAGAAAAGGTAATAAAAGGCAGAGTGATGAGAAGGGAAGAAATAAAACTGTCCCTATTTGCAGATGACATAATTATCTACACAGAAAAATCCCAAGAATTCTCAAAAAAAATCCAGAATTAATGAATTTGGCAAAGTCACAGGATACAAAATAAACACACAAAACCAACTATATTTCTATATAGTAGCAAGGAACACATTTACACAATTAAAAATACAGTAACGAGGCCAGGGCAGGAGAATCACAAGGTCAAGGGTTCAAGACCAACCGGCCAATGTATTTAAACCCCTCCCCCGTCTCTACTAAAAATACAAAAATTAACTGGGTGTGGTGGCACGGACCTGTAATCCCAGCTACTCAGGAGGCTGAGGCAGGAGAATCACTTGAACCCAGGAGGTGGCAGCTGCCGTGAGCTGAGATCACACTATTGCACTCCAGCCAAGCAACAGAGCAAGACTCTGTCAAAAAAAAAAAAAAGAAGAAGAAGAAAAGAAAAATACAATAACATTTGCAGTCACTCAAAAACAAATATTTAGGTGTAAATCTAACAAAACACGCACAATATAGAAATTAGGCCAATTAATAACACTGAAAGGCCTCTAAGTGTTCAAGGGACAGAAAGAGTTGTTAGTCACAGGAATAGTTGTTAGTCTCTCATTTTAACTCAAAAGTTAGAAATTATTAAGCTTAGCTGGGAAGGCACGTCAAAAGCCAAGATAGGTTGAATGAAAAAAAAAAAAAAAAGATAGGTTGAATGCTAGGCCCCTTGCACCAGTTAGCCAAGTTGTGAATACAAAGACAAAGTTCTTGAGGAAATTAAAATGTTATTACAATGAACACACAAATGATTAAAACTAGGCAGGAGTCATGGCACACACCTTTAATCCCAGCTACTTGGGAGGCTGAGGCAGGAGAATCACTTGAGCCCAGGAGGTAGAGGTTGCAGTGAGCTGAGACTGCGCCACGGCACTCCAGCCTAAATGACAGCGCAAGACTGTCTCAAAAAGCAGAACAGCCTGTTACTAACATAGAGAAAGTCTGAGTGCTCTGGATAGAAGATCAAACCACCCACATTTCCTTAAGCCAAAGCCTATCCAGAGAAAGGCCCTAACACTCTTCAATTCTTTGAAGGCTAAGAGAGGTGAGAAAGCTACGGAAAAAAAGTGAAGCTAGCCGGGGTTGGTTCATAATGTTTAAGGAAAGCAGCAGTCTCCATAACAAAAAGTGCAAAATGAAGCCTCAAGTGCTGACGCTGCAGCTGCAGCAAGGTATCCTGAAGATCTAGCTAAGACTGGCGAAGCTGGTAGATTTCAATGCAGACAAAACAGCCTTATATTGGAAGATGATGCCATCTAGGATCTGCATAATAGGGAGAAGTCAATGCCTGGTTTTAAAGCTTCGAACGACAGGCTGACTGTTGTTAAGGGTTAATGCAGCTGGTGACTTTCATTTGAAGCCAATGCTCAATGATCATTCCAACAATCTTAGAGCCCATAAGAATTAAGTTAACTCTACTCTGTCTGTGCTGTAAAACTGAAAAAACAAAGGCTGCATGACAGTGCATCTGTTTATAGCATCGTTTATTAAATATCTTAAGCCCACTGTTGAGACCTAATGCTCAGAAAAAAAAAGATTCCTTTCAAAATATTACTGCTCATTGACGATGCACCTGACCACCCGAGCATTCTGATGGACATGTACAAGGAAATTCATGTTTTCATGCCTGCTACCACAATATGCATTCTGAAGCCTACAGATCAAGAAGTAATTTCAACTTTCATGTCTTATTATTTAAGAAATACATTGTGTAAGACTATAGCTATCATAGATAGTGATTCCTCAGATGGAGATGGGCAAAATAACGCAAAAACCTTCTGGAAAGGATCCACCATTCTAGAGGTTGTTAAGAATATTCATGATTTATGGGAGGAGGTCAAAATAGCAACATTAACAAGACTTTGGAAGAACTTGACTACAACGCTCATGGTTGACTTTGAGGAGTTCAAGATTTCAGTGGAGGAAATAATAGCAGATGTGGGGGAAACAGCAAGACAACTAGAATTAGAAGTGAAGCCTTAAGATAGGACTGAATTGCTGCAATCCCATAATGAAATAAATACCAGCAGATTAGGAGTTGCTTCTAATGGATGAGGAAAGAAAGCAGTTTCTTGAGACAAAATCTACTCCTGGTGAAAATGCTCTCCCTGTCGCTGGAGTGCAGTGTTGAAATGACAACAAAGGATTTAGAATACTGCATAAACTTGTAAAGCAACAGCAAGGTTTGAGAGAACTGACTCCAATGTTGAAAGTTCTTCCATGGATAAAATGCTATCAAATGGCATTCATGTAACAGAGACGTCTTTCTTGAAAGGAAAAGTCAATCAATACAACAAACGTCATTGTTGGCTTATTTGAAGAAATCGCTACAGCCACTCCAGCCTTCAGCAAGCACCACACTGATGTCAGCAGCCATCAACGTTGAGGCAAGACCCTCAACCAGCAAAAGGATCATGACTCGCTGAAGCCAGATGATAGTTAGCATTTTTTTAGCAATCAAGTATTTTTCATTAAGATATGTACATTTGAGGTCAGGTGCAGTAGTTCACACCTGTAATCCCAGCACTTTGGGAGGCCGAGGCAGGTGGATCACCTGAGGTCAGGAGTTCAAGACCAGCCTGGCCAACATGGTGAAACTCCCTCTCTACTAAAAATATAAAATTAGCCAGGTGTGGTGGCACATTCCTGTAATCTCAGCTACTTTGGAGGCTGAGACAGGACAATCACTTGAACTGGGAGGCAGAGATTGCGGTGAGCCAAGATTGTGCCATTCCACTCCAATCTGGGCAACAAGAGCAAAACTGTCTCAAAAAAAAAAAAAAAATATATATATATATATATATATACACATATATATATACATTTGTTTGACATAATGCTATTACGCCCTTTATAACAGTATAACATATAACTATATGTATAGTGTAAACATAATTTTTATATACAGTGGAAAACCAAAAAATTGTGACCAAACCTGCAATATCTCTGAGGTCTGCCTGTAGACAAGTGATTGGCAGCAGCTTTATTCATAATGGCCAAAAAGTGGAAACAACAGAGATATCCTTCAAAGACTGAATGGTTAAACTCTTTCATCCATATGATGGAATAGTACTCAGCCATAAAACAGAACAAAACTATCATTCACTCAACAACCTAGATGAATCACTAGAGAATTATTCGGAGTGAAAAAAAAATCCAAAAAGGCTATATGCCACACAATTTGATGATATAACATTTTTGAAATAATAAAATTATAGAAATAGAGAAATGTGTGGTTGCCAGGGGCTAAGGAGGAGGAAGGAAGGAAGTGGTTGTGGCTGCAAGGCAATATGAGGAATCTCTGATGATGGAAATAGTTATCTTACTTACACGTATCAGTGTCAATGTATGGACTGTGTTATGTATTCTATATGGTTTTGCAAGATGTTGCCACTGAGAGAAACTAGATAAGGGGCACAAGAGATCTCTCTGGACTACAGCAGTCCTCACTTGCAGTTCCACTTTAGATGGTTTGCCCAGGGTCAACCATTGTCCAAAAATACTAAATAAGAATTCTAGAAGTAAACAATCGAATTTTAATACAATATATTGTGCTAATTGTTCCATTTTATTATTTTGTCACTCTCTTTTATTATAGATATGTATGTACAGTTAGCCCTACATATCTGTGAGTTCTGCCTTTGCAGAGTCAACCAACCTCAGATGAAAATATCCAGGGAAGAAAACAATAGAAAAATACAAATATACTAATAAAACCACAAATTGTAAAATACAGTATCATGACTATTTATACAGCGTTTACATGGTATGTAGTGTTATAAGTAACCTAGAGATGATTGAAAGTGTACAGGAGGATGTGTATAAGTTGCATGCAAATACTACATCATTTTATATAAGGGACTTGCACATCCATGGATTTGTGGCATCCACAGGAGGTCACCCACAGAAAAGGTTTGGGAGTGGAAGACAACCATACAGAAAAAAGCATATATATAAGGGTTCAGGCCTCCATTGAGGGGAGGTCTTAGAACTTAGCCTCTGAGGATAAAGAAGGACTACTGTATTTTTTATAACTGCACGTCAATCTAGAGTTAGCTCAAATTAATGTTTTTTTAAACAACATTGCCCTTCAAAGGAATTATTAGCCAAAGTGTGCCACCAGTTTTTTTTGCTTTGAGGCAGGGTCTCTCCCTGTTGCCTAGGCTGGAGTGTAGTGCAGGATTATACCTCACTGCAGCCTTGTCACCAGATTTTAATAGTGTCCTTTTGAACAACAGGTGTTCAACCTATATATTTTTCTGCCTGTGGCATCCCTGAAGAAGATCAATCCCTTCCCTTCCTCCTCAGCCTACTCAATGTGAAAATGACATGTATAAAGACCTTTGTGATGATCTACGTCCTCCTAATGAACAGTAAATAATTTTCTCTTCCTTGTGATTTTCTTAGCAACATTCTAGTTTACTTTTAAAAATATAGTATATGACATATAAAATATGTGCTAATCAACTGTTTATTACCAGTAAGACTTCTAGTCAACAGTAGGGTATTAATAGTTAAGTTTTAGGGTAATCAAAAGTTACACACAGATTTTGGACTGTGTGGAGGGTCAGTGCCCCTAACCCCTGTGTTGTTCAAGGGTCAGCTGCATTTTTAATTTTCTTGTTGACAAGGAGAAGAGTTTACTAAGAAAATTCATCTCTAACAACCTAGTTTTGAAGCATTTTCCAGATGTTTGTCATGTGTAGCTAGGAGCCAGAAAAACAGGCAAAGATGTAGAAGACAATGTAGATTTAGAAGGGAATATATAATACTAACACATTTTTATTAAAGTATGAAGTGGTACAAGAACTCAGTACTGAATAAACATATTTTCATTATTCCTGCCCATAATCATGAATGCTTTTAAACAGAGTACAGGCAGCACCTGACCAGTGTACAATCAACCCATGGAGAAGCATTTCTAAAGGAAGTCCTCCCCTTCTTACTCCCAGCCAGCCTAGGACACTTCCCTTTCAGAATCTTCCACTCCGAAGCCTTCTCTGCTTCTCACATCAACCCTGACCAACCCCAGCCCAAGTTGGCCAGGCGGAAAAAAGAGGAGGAAGAAAATGGTACACATGTGAACGTGAGCATGCCCCAACCGCCTCAGCCCTAACCACCTCAGCCCTAACCGCCAGGCAGAAAGATGAGGAAGAAGAAAATGGTACACATGTGAACATATGCATGCCACACACGTGTTCACTCTTCTCTCATGTCCACTTTGCTGCAATTCCTCTGAAGATGAACACCCAGAGGAAGGAAAGGATAAGAATGGTAAAGGGCTTGCTAACACCTCCAGCTGCCAGTCCTCCTCTCACCACAGTTATGAGGAAAGCCAGGCTTCATTCTTACCCTCCCCGCCAACACACACACCCCAACTCTCACCTCCCTCAGCCTTCACAAAACCCTTGACTCCACTCCACCCATACCTCCCCAATCCTATCCAGAAGCACTTCCAAAGTGCCTTCTTCCCTTTATAACTAGTCCCTTCCAGCTTTGCTGGAGCCCTGCCACAGGAGTCACATTCCAAGCAACCAGAAAGAAAATACAGAATAAATGTAATTTGTTATTTATGGATGCCCTAACCCTTGCCTTCTAGTAACTCTAGTTACTAGAGCAACTAGGAAGCTCTCCTGTAATTGTAGTTCATTTTCTGGTGATTAGGTTACTTTTAGAAAACAGAGGTTTCATTTATACTAAGAAAGTTAATATTAAAGTACTATTCTTACCCACTGAGCAAGAACTGCTTTCACTTATTAATATACCTTGCCAGAGCCAGGCATAACACCTCAGTTCTGTAATCCCAGCACCACAGGAGGTCGAAGCATGGGGATCACTTGAGCCCAGGAGTTCAAGACCAACCTGGACAACATGCAAAAACCCACCTCCTCAAAAAATACAAAAAATTAGCCAGGCATATTGGCATGCACCTGTAGTACCAGTTACTGGGGAGGCTGAGGTGGGAGGAATCAACTGAGCCCAGGAAATCAAGGCTGCAGTGGGCCATGATCGTGCCACTCCACTCCAGCCTGGGTAACACAGTGAGATCCTGTCTCAAAAAAATAGATAGATCGGACCGGCCATGGTGGCTCATGCCTGTAATCCCAGCACTAAAGGAGGCCGAGGTGGGCGGATCATGAGGTGAGGAGATAGAGACCATCCTGGCCAACATGGTGAAAACCCACTTCTACTAAAAATACAAAAAATTAGCCAGCCTTGGTGGTGCATGTCTCAAATGCCAGCTACCTGGGAGGCTGAGGCAGGAGAATTGCTTGAACCTGGGAGGCAGAGGTTGCAGTGAGCCAAGATCATGCCACTGCAACACAGCAAGACACTCCGTCTCAAAAAAATAGATAGATGATAGATAGATAGATAGATAGATAGATAGGGAGGAAGAAAGAGAGAGGGAGAGAGGGTGGGGAGAGAGGGAGAGGAGATGGAGAGGGATGGACAGGGAGAGAGAGAGAGGCGAGATTGATTGATCTTGGCCATCTGGCTTTATGCTGAGACCCAGCAAGTGAAGCCTGTGGCAGACAAGAGTGTTATCTATGAAAAAAATAAAAATAAAAAATAAATAAAAAGTGGTATCCCCACTTTTTGTGGGGCAAACTATAACAATGACAATGACCTCTCTACTGACTGGCAGGGTCGACTCGGCTGACAAGTTGGCTGGGCAGGTTTCTCATCTCCAGGTACTCTGCTTCTAAAGCTGGGAATGGTACAAAAAGATTACATGGTTCTTGCACCAGAGTTCATCTACTTTACTCAAGCCCATAATTTTACATTCAGTTCTAACCAAATTTAGATGGTTTCCAAGTTCACAGTTAGATCAGAAGGGAATAAATCTTCATAGAGAGAAGAACACTTTATTCATCCAACAACTATTTGTTGAGTGCCTAAGAAGTGGCAGGCACTTGGAAATACAGCAGTGACTGATACACAATGACCCCATCCTCCTGGCTTACTGTGTTTGGTGGGAGGTAGGGGCAGAGGGTTAGACAGTAGAAAAGTAAATTAAAATAACTGTAAATAAAATAACATGTTACGGTTGCTAACCAGGACATAAACAGAGTACAGATCTTGCACTCTCAGAATTATGAAAAGCAATACTCAAGCAAGGCCAGGCACAGTGGCTTACACCTGTACTCCCAGCACATTGGGAGGCCAAGGTGGAAGGATCACTTGAGCCCAGGAGATCAAGTCCAACAACACAGCAAGACCCCATCTCTACAAAAAACAAAAATAAGAGAATTATCCAAGCATGGTGGTTGTGCCCATAGTTCCAGCTATGTGGGAGGCTGAGGTGGGAGGATCACTTGAGGTCTGGAGTTCAAGGCTGCAGAGAGCTGAGATTGCACCACTGAATTCCAGCTTCAGTAAAAGAGTGAGACCTCATCACACACACACATACAAAATTTTAAAACTAAAAACTAAGGTAAAGCAACTTATCTTTGAAAAGTGATAACTGCATTATTAAGGCACATAACCTCAGCAATACCCTAACTTAAAACCTGCTGACTAGATGTATTTGACTGCAAATCTGGCCCACACAAGCAATAATCTGAGTTTCCATCAAGGAAGCTGTAAGGACCAAGTAGATCAAAATCAAATCCAGGACTCAAATGGAAAAAGCACCTCTGAATTGTGATTTTCAAAGAAACTTGCGTTTCTTACACTTCAGTGTACTTTCCCCATATTTAACGCCACGATTTTTGTTAATTTGTTTGGTTTTCCTTTCTCAAACAAAATTATTCTTAGACTGAAAATTCTAGATTTGTTCCCTATTGCATCTTCATTTCTTCCCAAACATTTCATAAAACCTGACCTACATTAAGTTAGCAAGTCTGAAAGCTTCTACCGTCCCTGTTGGGGGTTGGGGGGAGGTATAGGGAGGGCAGAGATTTGTAGTCCAGCTCTCTTGCCACAAATTAGGAATTAGAGAGGTATGATTTTGCTTTTTTAATGATCTCCAGATAATTTTCCACAATTCCCTCTCTTCACCCAGTTCCTTTGAAACCACTGCCAGAGAAGTCTTCCTTGAGCTTAAGCACTGATCCTAAAACGCTTCCATATACCTGTGTTGCCCCTTTCTGTTCCCATGGAGATTACCCTCTGTAACAATCTTGCAAAGACGTTCCCTCAGTCTCCTCATCCTCTGATCAAACCCTCTTACAATTTCCCATCTCACTCAGAATGACAGTCAAAGTCCCTGTGATGGCCAACTTCTGCATCACCTAGCCAGCCTGCCACCTCCAGAACTATCCAGCCTCATCTTTCTACTCTTCCCCTGGTTACCTGCCCACGCCTTCACACTTGTTCTCAGCTTGGAATCCTCCCTACCTTCCTTGAGGAACTTTCTCAAATGTCACCTTCCCTCAATACTCCCCTTCCCCTATTTAAAACTATAAATTTCCAACTCACTAAGCCCCTAAATAACTGTATTTAACTTACTGTATAAACTACTTTCCCTACTTTTAAGTTGCAAGATTGCAGGGATTCATTGTTTTGTTCATTGCTGTCTCCCAAAGTTTAGAACAGTGCAAGATACCCAACGGTTCAATAAACAGCCATTCATTTAACAAATATTTGCTCAGCACCTGGTCCCATCCAAGTTTGTTACATCAAGACAAATAAGATACTGTCCCTGCCTTTAACGCACCAGATGGAGAAATGCACCACAAACATAAACGTGCAATACAGGACTGAAAACTAAGGCCACAGGCAAGTCAAAGAATGTGTCAGAAGTTCAGAGGAAGAGGCCTCGGCTTCGCCTTTCTGGAAACCAGTCCAGCTTTCCACCATCACGCAGCTCACCAGGGACCATCCCCGGGGGTCTCCTCCAGACCCCAAGAGAGGCGCGTGTCCCTCCTGCCATCCCCAGGCCTAAGAGTTTACTTTTCCAGAGATGCAACTTCCGGCCTCTTCCTGCCAGGCAAGTGATTTAAGGAAAGAAAAGAAATATAAGTATCTCCGCTCTTCGGTCTCCGTCCCCTCCCCTTCCCCCGCGTGCCGTCCCCACTGTGGCCCAGGACTGAACACAACTCTCGACCAACTCTGGGCCCCTGGACTAGCCGCCCTACTTCCGCGAGCCCCACCTGCTCCCGGCGTCCCCTTCGGCTTCTTTCAGCGCATGCGCAAGCAGGCCCACGTGGGTCGGGTGGGGCTGGCGCCTTGGCGGGGGCTGGGCACGCCCCTAGCGCAGAGCTGGCTTCTGATTGGCTTCTCGGTCCTCGCCCGAGCAGAGTTAGGACGAGTAGACCGCGCCTCTAAAGGCGCCTGCCAGCTGTCTGGGCGATTGCTTCCTACTCCTTGCCTTTTCCGCGGGCTCCGTGGAGTTCTTGCAAGCCGGCCAGGATGTCTCAGGTACAGCGCGTGCACAGCCAGGCTCCGAAGGTGCAGCGGGCGGGGTCCTGTCGGGGGCTCACCCGGCAGCTAGAGCTCTAGGGCTCTTTCCTTCTGTGCCCTACAGTTCCTCCTGGACCCATGCCTAGCGCTGATTCGCTGGACAGGACCTTGTGAGAGGGACTTTCCGTTTGGGGAGTTCTAAATCTGCTGCCCACCCCGCCACTGCTGGAAAGTTGCCCATGGGGTGGACTTCGCGGTGTAGCGAGAGAGGGGTGGGAGTCGAGGGTGCTTGATGGAAAGATGGGGGAAGGGGTTGCACAGATTGGAGGAGCGAGGAGACTCAGTCCCCATCCCGAAGCACCAGGCAGGGCGTCGCGGCGGAGTGGGGGAGCGCTTAGGCCATGGCCGGGAGCTTGGAGGTCAGGGGAAGTACAGGGCTGGGTGCTCCGCGTGCGGGACGGGAGTCCCTCCCTTCCCTCCAGTGTAGACCCTTGTCTGGGACCAAGCTTTGTGGGGCGACCTCTGGCTCCTCTCGCCCGCCTTTCCCAATCCGGGCACTGAGACAGAGGTCGGTGTTGAACGCCCGGGCCCCAAGGGAGGGGAGGGGACCAGCTGGCTCTGGCGCTGACACCGCGGCACTCGTGCCTGTCCCCTTTCAGCTGTTTGGAACATGCTGTGCCGCCCCTATCCCCAAGCCAGGGCTTCTCTGGAACCCCGACCACTCCTTAGTGCCTGGCCGGTTGGGCAGTTGGCCGCGCTGCTCCTCGGGTAGAGTGAACACCCACTGCGGGCAAAGGGTTAGCCCGCCTTCTTTACTCCTGTATTTCCAGACCAGATGCCTGCGTTAGTGAGAGTGCTCGATATATGGTTTTCGACTGAATGAGTGAACTGGACGGGCTTCCCCTGCTTGTGTTGCTAAATCTTTGTAGCTGCCCTGTTGTGGCAGGGCGGGGCAGACACACTTAAGGGTCTGCATTGTAGGAAGGGTGCAGCCTTTCCCACCTCTCCATCCCTGTAGCTGGGCTCTGTTCAGGTCACAGCAGGACTCCTGCCCTCTCACACCCAGAGGAGGCCCTCAGTCCTCTCCTCTCCCTTCCATTTAGGCTGAGTTTGAGAAAGCTGCAGAAGAAGTTAAGAACCTTAAGACCAAGCCAGGAGATGATGAAATGCTTTTCATCTACGGCCACTACAAACAAGCGACTGTGGGTGACATAAATACAGGTATGTGGAGCGGGGATTGGAAGGGCCTCTGCTCATCAAAGCAGGCTCTGCTACAAGTACCTGGGAACTTCACTCTCAAACTGCCTGAGGCTCTGCTCTGCAAGTGGGTATGGAAAGATGGTGGAAGGGTGGCATGGATTGGAAAGTGAAGCGACTCAGATCCTATCCCAAAGCACCGATGGCTCCTGGGGTGGAAAAGACCATGTTCAGGATTCTCAGTGTCTCCAGTAGCAGAATTCAAATCCTGGTTTTAGCAGGGTTTTACTGGTTATCACCAGCAGCTCCTCTCTGCTAGGGAAGAAGCAAAGACTGCAGCTTGGAAAAGACTTGCTCTAGGCTCTCAGCTCAGTGGTAGTATTGTTGAGCCATTCAGCTTCTACCTCAGATGGGCAGGATCAAAGTTGGAGTACTTGGCAGCCTGGTTAAGCCTGATGTCAGGAGCAGAGAAACACCTGGGCCAGGTCAGAGCATTTCACTGACAAGTCTGTGCCTTCCTGACCCAAAATCTCGGCACAGAGTTTGAGGCTGTGCTTTGTACTGTCACATCTGTAATAACATCATCTTTCCTGCCTTGGGCAGGTTTCATTCTGCCCCTGAGTCCCTGAAACCAGTGGATACTGAGGCAACAGCACAGTGCATTCTGTGTAAGGACTCAGAGTTGTCATGGCAACACACAAGCAAGGTCTCCCCTGCCCCTGTTCAGGAGGAAGGTGAGCACAGTCTGCATTTCCACAGTAGCTGGGGTGGAAGATGGAGCAGGTGGGCTGGCTGTCAGCCAGTTGGAAGCAAGAAATGGCACCCAGAGCGAAGGATCACAGGCAGTGCCAAATCAAACACTGGGGCTCACACGGAACACTTAGTTGAGGAAGGTCTTGTGGCAAAGATGAGTTTTACAGTGAGTTTATAAACTCTTCTCCCAGGGAGGGGAAGGAAAGGTGAAGCAGGGGAGGCCAGAGGTACTGAGATACTTTTGGGACAAACAGTATTTTCACAGAGACTGGCCTGTGTTCATACTAGAGTTACCAGTTTTCACATGAGTCTAGGTTGACTGGCGTGGGAACCTATCACTTCCTGATCAAAGAGATATCATCAGCGCTCTCTAGAGCTTTACTATACAGCCCTATTACCCAATTATAAAACATGATAGTGCAAACGTAACAGTTTAGTATAATGGCCAGTAGCCACATATGACTATATAAATTTTAACTGAGACCAGGCTCAGTGACTCACACCTGTAATCCCAGCACTTTGGGAGGCCAAGGTGGGTGGATCACAAGGTCCCGAGTTCAAAACCAGCCTATGTTGATGGGCCAACATAGTGAAACCCCATCTCTACTAAAAATACAAAAATTAACCAGGCATGGTGGCACATGCCTGTAGTCCAAGCTACTCAGGAGGCTGAGGTAAGAGAATCGCTTGAACCCGGGAGGCAGAGGTTGTGGTGAGCCAAGATTGTGCCACTGAATTCCAGCCTGGGCAACAGAGCAAGACTCCATCTCAAAAAAATAATAATAATAATTAACTGAAAATAGAAATTGTTAAATAAAATCAAGTTTAGTCTTCATTCACAGGTGCCACATTTCAGGTGCTTAGTAGTCATTTGAGGTCCTCAGTGTGGCAAGTGGCTCCTGAATTGGACGTTGCAAATGTACATGCACATTTCCATTCCCAGGGCTGTGGAGAGAGTGTCCAGGGGTGCTGCTCTGGGATTCTGACGATGACCGCAAGTACAGTTTTTTTCAGATGTCCCTGGGAACACTTCCCTGAAAGCGCTCAGGGACATTTTCTCAGGCACAGTGCTCAGGCTATGGACTCTGATTGTTCCCTTTGGCTCTGGAGCTGGGCATGGTAGTGAAATAGGACAACAGGGAAATGGTGAGTGTGTCTCCTAACTGCAGATGATAACAGGCATATAGGCATAAAGTCATCATATAACTTAAAGAAACCTTACCCTCAGTGAAAATGCCCACAGATCAGCAAGAAATAGACTAACAATTTGGTAGAAAAATGGGGCTAGGATATAAATAGATAGTTTATAGGAAAGGACACCTGATAACATTAATGATTAGGGAGAGAAATTGGGCAGCTAACAGCGGGGAAATTTTATAGTATTTTTCTCTGTAGCTTTATGAGTGTATGTTTTTTTAAAAAAATTATAATTAAAGTATAATTTTTAAAAGGAGAAATTTTGGAGTCATTTCACTTGTAGGACAAAGACTATCTTGTAATAAGAATAGTGTTCTTCCTATTTCCTCTAGATTTTAAGTTTGGATTGCCATACATCTGTTTTTCTTAAGGCAGAACCCACACTACTAGCCCCATTTAACCCCATGACAAAGGCTAGAAGGAACAGGTGTAATAGTAGATGGGAGTCATGGCGAGAAGGTCTATCAAGTTCTCCATTAGAATTTGAAGCAGATCTAATGTCTTTTCTTCTCTTAAGAACGGCCTGGGATGTTGGACTTCAAGGGCAAGGCCAAGTGGGATGCTTGGAATGAGCTGAAAGGTAATTGTTCTAATCAGTTTCCCTCATCTGTGAAACCCAGTAATGAAAGAATCTTCATTACGAAGTGTAAGGGAAGAGAAGAGAAAACAAAGTCCACGGGGCACGTGCAGGAAACCAGTCTGACCTGTGCCAGAATGGGAAAAAAATGGACCACCTACTTTTTCTCCTGACACTATTTATGCCTTTTCTAAAAGCACCATCTCTGAGCAAGAGTATCATCTAGAGAGGAGGGGCTGGGGACCAGGCTGTCGAAAAATAGGTTGGGAAGTGATGTAGTTGGCGTGGGCTTCAGATGTGTTCAGAATAAGGGGTGGTTTCCTGTCTACAGCTCCCTCTCCCCCACAGGCTAGGTGATGACCCCCTTTCCCCCATGGCCCTCCCCAGTTCCCTCCCAGCCAGAAGGGTACATAAAAGAAGGGAATGAGCTAATGCATGGCAAGCTGCTGGCATCGTAGGCTCTGTGAATGGAGCCATTATATGCTAAGCACCAGCAGCCAAGAAGTATCCAAGCTCCTACTTAATCACGTGCCACCTGCAACAGCAAGACCCAAGAGTTGGCACCAAAGCTCCTGGCAACATTAGTGTTCCCGCTGGCTAGTTTCTGAATAAGCCCTCTGTCTTTCTACAAATGAGAAACCCTTGAATTCAGAAAGGGCCACAATACAATAAACACACTCCTAGGATCTGCAGGTAACTGGGAAGGGAATGCCTGGCCATTTTCATGGGACATTTCCATACCATCCCCAGGCCCCATGTACTCTCCCTTGCTTCAGAACAAGCTCTGAGTTTCAGGGGGTCTCTCCTCTTCACCATAGAATCCAGGAAACTGTGTGTTACTGTCTCTGACGATACATTCAGTGTCCTTTCTACTGCACCAAGAAGACAAAAATTTGTCTCATTCCCCTCCAAGAAGCAGCTACTTTTGCTCAGAGATCCTGAAACTTTTCTCATAGCCTGTCTCTGGGGAGAAGGGGGTGCCTGGCTTTGCTTTTTCACTGCCAGCTTAACAGCCCTGGGAGATTGGAGCCCAAACACAGAGACACTGAAAAAAGGCCAAAGCCAGTGCCAGCCACAAGAGTTAGCAGGACCAGTAAAGTCACCAGGAAACAGTGACCGTTTCCTGCCTGTCTGGAGGGAAGCTCACGCTGGCCATTCCCCCAGGACAGGTGGAGGATGCAGGTGGCCAGCAGATGGGCGACAGGTCTTGGCCAGCCCCACCAGGCTTTCTGAGTACAGTGGTTTGTGGAGCATTCACTTCGGATACTGTCTCCTCCAACATGTAATTAGTAGAAGCCCAACTTTCTAAGTGAGACACTGAGCCTAGGAGAGTTCCAGCAGAGCTGCCTGGGGCTCTGGAGGCTGCTTGTTTCCTACCATGCTGCCTCCCTGACAGATATTCCTGTTGATTCCTTGCAGGGACTACCAAGGAAGATGCCATGAAAGCTTACATCAACAAAGTGGAAGAGCTAAAGAAAAAATACGGGATGTGAGAGACTGGATTTGGTTGCCAAGCCATGTGTTTATCCTAAACTGAGACAATGCCTTGTTTTTTCTAATACTGTGGATGGTAGGAATTCGGGAAAATAACCAGTTAACCCAGCTACTCAAGGCTGCTCACCATATGGCTCTAAAAGATTATGGGCTAAAACGATTACTGACCTTCCTTGAGTAGTTTTTATCTGAGATCAATTAAAAGTGTATTTGTTAATTTAAAGAACTTTAGTGATCTGAGTTCTTGAGATAATATACTCTGTCTGACCTCGACCTTGTTTCCTTTTTCTAAAGGCCTCCTCTGGAAGTGCTTCAGCTGCATATCTAGTAGAGTATGAGGCAGACAGTCCTGCCCTGAGCACTGGCCCAGGGTGTGCTGGCCCTTTGTGGGGAGGAAGAGGATGGTAGAAGCAGCCTTTCTCTCCTCCTTCCTGGTTCAGCCACACTGAGGAAGGTGAGGCAGCCTGGCTGAGACCTCAGTCTGCAGGTACTTCTGTCAGGGGCATTCCTGTCCCAGGCGCTATGCGTGGCAGGGTTTACAATGTTTGAAGTTGGTCTGAGGTCCAGCCAGTCCCTGATTCCAGAGTACACAGGCCAGGTTGGAAGCCCCCATCAAGAATGGAGTGTGCACCTGACAGAAGGTGTTCCCTAAGTCCCAGGGGAAGCCACAGACAGCTGTGTGGGCAACAGTCAGTGGCAAGGGGTGTCCTCTACAGATAGTGGGGAGCAGAACCCTGGGAGCTTGCAGAGGAAAAAGGCTGGAGCTTGACTCTGGAGGACATAGGACATAGGTTGTTGAAAAGTGATAATGAAAAAAAGGAGACAGCTGTCTAGACCCTTCTTGCCACATGTTCCCCTTCAGCTCTTGAATTTACAACCCCACCATCCTTTGCAACAGGGATTGTATCTCATTATTGTGTAATGGACATTACTGTGCCCGTTAGTTGAGTGAGGAAATTAAGGCTCAGAATTGATTTAACTGGATCCAAGTCCAGGGCTCGCTGGCCAGGAAGACCCTGTTTGTCCCCCTCTACCATGTTCCCTCTCATGGCGCCTGGCTGCCACTTAGTCTGCATCTCTGCTGTGTTGCAATCAGTGGCATCTGTCCCTCTGAGCTAGCATAAGGTGCTGGTGTGAAATCCATCCCCTGACTGTGCAGTTCATTTTGGAAGAGTGGCTTAGACAAGGAGGTCCCACTTCCAAAGCTGAGACTTTTTTAGGCACTCAGATGACTGGGTCATAGCCAGGTTTGGGAGATGCTCTCCCCTCTCACTAGAAAGTAGTTGTACTGGTTTCTCAGAAAGTAGTGTTTGTGCAGTTCTGAGAGCACCAGTAGCCTAGGGCTACAGCTACTCCTGTGGCTGCCACAGGAGCCCTTGGACTACCCAGGGCTGGCTCACAGGGTGTCACTTGGAGACAAATGAGATTGGCAGTGGGGGTATCACCAAGCGTCACCCGCCTGAAGAGCCCACAGCACCTCTGGTCCATCTTAGCTGGAATCTGGCTTTGCTGACACACTGACTTGTGAATCCTGCTTAAGTCTCTCAGTGCTGAATCATGTATCCTTTTGAGCCACAGTTCCTTCATCTGGAAATGGGTAGAATCTGCACCTCACAGTGCTGACAAAATGGGTCAGTGCTTAGTGCAGTGCCTACCAAACAGCAGCTAGTTCATGGCCCAAAGGTCTCCCCTGCAGGCCAGCCTGGTGGCACAGTGCTGTTCCTCATCTTAGCAGGGCTTCAGCAATGTAGGGGTCAACCATGCAAGTAAGTGTGGGTTATCTAAGGATGTCCTCCCCAAAAGAATATTCCAAGATTTGTAAGTCTGGAAACCAGGACTGAGGATCAGGAGCCAGACATAAAGGAACATGGAAAGGCTGCTGAATTACAAGTTGTGGGCCTTTCTCTCAGTTGCTGCCCAAATTAAATAGACAGGGGACAAGGAATGTCATCTCTATAAGCCTCTTATTCTTCAGCAATAAGCTGGCTCTGAGCAGAAGGTCATGTGTCCATTGAAAGCCACAGAAGGAGAAACAGAAAGCCCCCAGGGCTGGCTGGCTTGATCAGAACCAGACTTGGGCTGGGAAGTGTTGAGGGGGTAGTTGAAGTATCCACATGATTAAAGGTGCTTAAAATTAAATTATAGATATTTGAAGTTGAGAATGAGCCAAAAGACATCACCAGTGGGAGTGGCTTTTGCACAGTTGTGCCTTTGGGGTCTGGGTCAGGGCAAGACAAGGCCTGTGCCCTTTGCAGCTCCCATGGAAAGAGAAGTGCTGAGAGCAAATTCTGAGGTGTGATGAAGGCAAACCAAGCCCCCAAAAGCAGAAAAACTGCTCAAGGTGTTCTAAAACAGTAAACAATACGTGTATGTCTCACGCCAGAAGAACTAGTTCTTTAAACACAGGACATGTGACTCTGCCTCCATTGTTGCCTTGTAAAGAATGCTTTCTAGTTCATCTTTAACCTATATTGAACATACACTAGCTGCCTGGTTAGTTTACCTTTAACCAATGAAAGAACATGGAGCATCCGCTTGTTAAACGGATCACTGGAATGTAAAGAATAAATACATGGGTCAGAATCTACTCTAGGCGTTTAGCTGGGAAGGCTGTCAGCCCCCTGAGCCCACCTTTTGAATTCTGTCTCTGCATCTGTTTCTTATTTCCTTCAGCACCACCTAGGTTGAGGTCTCCACAACCGAGCTGGTCTTGGCAGAGAAGTTCAGAATGTGTTTTCTCCTGTTTATTCTGTGATCACACTCGATCTCTCTTTAAAAGGGACTTGGGATAGCTAAGAATAAACCCCAAAATAAAGGAAGTCCTGTGCTGGACCCTAGGGTTTAAAGATGATGAAGACTCATTCTTGCCCGAACGCTATAAACCACAGCACAACAGAAGTGCCACGGGAGGTCCCTCCTCCCCTGCCATGGAGAGGATCCACCTGTGTATTGGCAACAACCCACTGCCTCAGGTACTACTCAACCCTGGGAAGACTAGGAATCATTGGTCTGTAGTTTTCTTATTTTATGGTTTTCAGTAAGTATCCTTGCTAAGTAATCGTCTAAACTGTAAATATTTTCTTTTTTATGTAGTTGTTGATAACCAAAATGAGTGACTGAGGCAGCTCTTCCCATCAATCAAGGTTTATTAAGCCAGCTTTGAGCGTGCCTGGGAATAACACAAGCCACATAGACAGATCTGTGGCTGTTTTTCTTTTTCCAAAGAAGCTCTCAGGAGGTTTTATATAATTTCCCTAAAGGGGTTGTTGGGGACTGGCAGTGAGGGGAATGTTTACGTACTTGTGAGACCTCAGACAGTGCCCACTAAGTCTACATTTTACTAAAATAAAATTTGAAGAAAAAGAGAATAGAGGAAGCAGATGTCTCAGGGAGGGGTGAAGGAACAATTAATTTCATTTTGTCTTTGTTTTGTACCTGGGAAGATAAGCTGGCAATCTACATTATCAGTGTGGAGTCTTTGGAAAGGGCTGCTTTCTGTGTAGACTGTATAAGGAGGTGTGTCCGAACTCTCCTCCCATCCTGCCCAGGAACTCAGCTTCCAAGGCTTCTCTGTGTTCCCCTTGGCCAAAAGGGGATCTGTTCATTTGCTTGGGGAGCTTAGATTTCATTATTGATATGGCTTGAATGTTTGTCCCCTGCAAATCTCATGTTGAACCATTGAGGCCCAGTGTGGAAGGGGGGGCCTGGTGGGAGGTATTGGATCAGGGGGCAGATCCCCCATGGATGGCTTAGCACCTTCCCCCTTGGGGTTGAGTGAGCTCTCACTCAGTTAGTTCAATTGAGACCTAATTGTTTAAAAGTCTGGGACCTCCCCCTCCTCACTCTCTTGCTCCTGCTCTCATATGTGACATGTTCGCTGCCTTCCATGGTTGGAAGCTTCCTGAGGCCTCACCAGGAGTGGATGCCAGCACCATGCTTCCTGTACAGCCTACAGAACCATGAGCCAATTAAACTTCTTTTATTACCCAGTCTCAGGTGTTTCTTTTTAACAACACTTAAGAAGTGCCTAACAATTATTTCTCATTTCCCCCCTTTGGCTGGGATTTGCCAGAGCCAGCATAAATGGCCAAATTTTTATTTTGTCCCGTATTATTGCCAGGATGGTGTGGCTGGCTGCCCCATGCCCATTCTGTTCCTTGGTGGAACTCCTATTGCCAAGGAACTTACAGCCCAAAGACTTACAGGCAATTAAATGTTCTAGGACAAATGAGAATGGAGGTGGGCAGGCACTCATCAACCTTAAAACCAAGAGCCAAAAGGCAAGGTTATAAAATTGGCTTATCTGTAAGTTCTATGAAGTGAGCTCCTGTAATCTTGATTTTAGTTAAATATGTAGCGATGTAAAACTACTTGAGCTAAGGAATTTAGAGACCTTTGTTGTGTCAAAATGTTTTTTTGCAGTTCCTTAGAAATTTGTTCTGAAGTAGTCAGTAAATTATGTCATATCTCTAGTTTCATAAACTCCATAACTGGGAACAATTATACCCAGCAGGCTTCGTTTTCGGGTGTCTTGATGTCCTTGGCAATTCTCTTTTAAGTCTATGAGAAACAGAAAATTCTTTATGGTTGGGATGGATGAAAAGGGGCCACATAATGGCCTAGGCAGCAAAATCCCTAAGTTGTCCAGCTGTTTAAGCATCTATGTGCCTATCCTTGATTTGGAGAGTAAACTAATTCTTTCCCTCAAAACTGGCCCTTATAGTCTCACATATTCATCTGCACCACGATCATCCCTGCGCCTAGAGGGAGGGTGCTTGAACAGTCTTAGCAGCAGGTATTGGTAATGAGAAACAGATCAAGCCTAGTGGGTATGAACCCTGAAAATCTCACACAGGTCTCAGTTAATTAACAAGCAAAGGAAAGCAAAAAAAGCAGGGATTGTTATCCTAGTTTCTGATAAAACAGACTTTAAATCAACAAAGATCATAAAAGACAAAGAAGAACATTACATAGTGGTAAAGGGATCAATGTAACAAGAAGAGCTAACTATCCTAAATACATATGCATACAATACAGGAGCACCCAGATTCATAAAGCAAGTTCTTAACGACCTACAAAGAGATTTAGACTCCCACACAATAATAGTGGGAGGCTTTAACACCCCACTGTCAATATTAGATCAATGAGACAGAAAATTTACAAGGATATTCAGGACTTAAACTCAGCTCTAGACCAAGCTGACCTAATAGACACCTACAGAGCTCT